AATATTTTACAGAGGCCAATGCAAAGATAGCAAGGAAAGTAATGTTTAATATCTGAGGAGAAACGTGTACTTTTATCTTGATTGATGAAACTCTTGATGTCAAGTCCTTGTGTTGTGTGTGTACGATGGGGCCATTCGAGTGAAATATTGATGCATAATGTATACCAACATACTATGGCCATTGGCGGTTGTGTATTCACTGAATGGAAATGAATGATTTAGAAGCCGTGTATGTGTATATCAGATAGTTCATACAGGAATTTCTATGAAAGACTTTTAGTTTCGAGATTTTTAAGGATAAAACATGAATATGGAAATATGAAAGACACACTTAAAAACACTTTTTCCGTATGGTGTTATCAATATTGACGATCATGCGTAAATATGTTCCTTGGAAATATGTATATGAATATTGCTATATATTGTGTACCCTAGATATACGTGAGTATGGGTGGTGGTGTAGCCAAGCGTGCAAAGTGTTCACTTCAAAGGGTTCGATTCCTGACAAATCGCAACGTGTGAAATCCATTTTTGTGATATATTTATGGACTGACGTATAACTACCACAGTCTTACTTTTGCGTCTTGGACAATATATTTTCGAAAAAATATCATTAGATCCTCATCTGGTGGAATCTGAATTGTTTAGATAATGTTGGTTTATACTCTGCACAAACAGTGCTATTTATAACAAGAATAGAACAACGATAAGTAAAGTAAGTATAGTGTAAGTAAAGCTTTGACCAAAACACATTTTGTTTATGCATTGTTTGTGTGTAAAACTGGCGACCTGTGTCTGCAACGTGCTGGAAACTGGCCGACATCAGCGTGCTGTGGCCAAAATGTAAAACAGACTGTGTGTTTAGCAGACTATAGAACAGGTACCACAAACCATGTTGGGAATCGAACCCGTCTAGGTAGTCTGAGGTCATTGACAAGAGAAACACTCTCCTGGAGTACGAGAAATGGTCTACATGCACGTCATTTCCACGGCCACGTGGTAGCAACGGAGGTAATAGTGGCTGGTCACGGGTCACGATTCCCCATTCCCCATTGCAAGAGTGGGGTGTCAGGCTGTCGGAAATCTCCAGCGGGAGATTCATGCGCAATATGCACTTCAAGTGGGGGAATGCTTGAAATGTTTGAAAACCTGTGGCACTAGTGATAAACAGACATGTCACCCATCTTATTGCTACCGTCCTTCAAGATCCCTGATCTGATAGCATCTACTGTCATAAACATACAAATACATTCATACGTATATTTCTAGAAACGAATTTATTTTACAATTTTGGAAATTTTAAATCATTTCCGATCGATCCCTGTTTTTTAAAAGCCTTATATTCGAGTTTATACGTCGAGATGGGCGGGCGTGGTATTGGACAATGTCACGAACACGTATGGAATGTGGTTGAGATACGGCTGAACTAGCGAGGATGCAGCGCTAAATAGTAACTCACTCACTATAGTAGAGATACTATTCCCCTTCTGCTGGGACAGCCCCGTGTCTGTATGGTGAGAATGATTATCGCGATGATATAGCGACGTATGTATGTGAGAGAGACTTTAACTCTATGTTGGTTTGTGTGTGTGCATGGATCCCAGTTTGTGTGTATGGTATCCTCCCAAAACGCAGACCTCCCAAAACGCAGACCCGTTAAAGCAACACTTGTTATTGTTGGTTGCACCCGTGATTAGTAGGCTGTACCCTTAATAACGAAAAATTGTATCACCCACGTAACGAGTTTTGACAATCTAGCAAGTGATCCCTTACTTCGTCGATATTTATTTAATGAATAATATGTAAAAGCTGTAAAAAATATTCATCTAGGCGATCTTATAAGAATAATATTTTACCAGAGACATGGCATACATATTTCAAAGATGTATTAAATCCTGTATCACGAGATGGCTGTGACCAGAAGTGGGATGCTTACACTGGAAATTATATTCCTGAACATAGTTCTGAACATTATACTGATTGTGTTAATGATGAACTGTCTTATGATATAACAATAGCAGATGTTATATCTTCAACAGACGATGCTAAACTGAATAAGTCTCCAGGAGACGACGGTATTCCAACAGAAGTTTTAAAGAAAATTAAGGATATGATTGCACTACCTTGCTTTATTGTTTTCACAAATATTGTGTAAAGGTCATTTCCCAGCTGCATGGACTACTGCTATTATAATGTCTATATATAAAAAGGAAAGTAATAATGAACCTAGTAACTGTAGGGGCATATCGTTATTGAACACTTTGTGTAAGTTATCTTTCAATACATTGTTCAAAAGCATATAACTCTAAGAAAAGGCAGATTCTACTGTGCTTTCGTGGATTTCAAGAAAGCGTTCGAAATAAATTACCGAAATAAATTACTTTATCTTCTGTTAAGAAATGGTATACATGGACAGATATTTTTATTGTTCCACAGATGTTCACTTAGTCCCTTGTTGTTCTCCATATTTATCATAGTGTGGACCAGGCCATTCATTAATTAGGGGTGACCAGCATGGCCCAATTAATTAGTGTGCTAGTTTTATCTGCATTTTGGGAGGTCTGCGTTTCGGGAGGTCTGCGTTATGGGAGTAAACCGTGTGTATGCGTGTCGTCTCTCTCTCTCTCTCTCTCTCTCTCTCTCTCTCTCTCTCTCTCTCTCTCTCTCTCTCTCTCTCTCTCTCTCTCTCTCTCTCTCTCTCTCTCTCTCTCTCTCTCTCTCTCTCTCTCTCTCTCTCTCTCTCTCTCTCTCTCTCTCTCTCTCTCTCTCTCTCTCTGTGTAAGGGAATGTTAACGTACAACAGTCTTGCAAGCTGGACTCATATTCAAATGCCAGTATCTTCTCCACGATCATTCGGCAACGTACTTGATTCTAAAAAAGTTACAAATTTATTTAGCATTTTGTTTACCTTCATGTCAAATAGTTTAAACTCATCAACATAAAAGCAGGCGGCTTGTGCGGAGGGGTATATTTGTTGGGCTCTTATCATCCGATCTACACAGCCCGAGTACCCTGTATTTGCAATTAATAATCGTCAGGTAAGCATTGATCACAGGTGCAAATCCAGGTGGTACACCTGTGCCCAGGTAATCTCGAGTTTCTCACCTATGGCACACATAACAGCCATTATTCAGCCTGGAAGCACTTAGGGTAATAAATTTTCCCATAGGTGTTTATGAGGTGATTGCTTGGTCGGCCCGTAGATTGTTTCTGGAAGATTGAAATGATAAATCGACACGGGTGGCTACAGACAGTTTTCCTTTTACAGAAACATATCACCTTTTACCGAGTTAGAGCACGACCGTACAGTATGGATGTGTTTTAAACTATGACAGCTGAATGATTAATGATAACTGGTTTAGGATGGTTCTTTTCTGTTATTTGTACTTCAAGTTTTTAGTGGGCGTTCTGCTGATTTGAAGTTCGTGGTGATTTGTGCAGGAAAGATCTAACACTTAAAACCGAAGGCGTGCTTGTTGTCACCATATTTCATATATCTTTTTCAAAATTGACATTTCCTAGTTTCGTGCGAATAAGATATTTATATTATTTGAGGGGGAGTTTTACTCCATAATGACAACGGTGGCATGATAATTATGCAAACATGAATTGACCTCACAAATACAGAGTATTCGGTACATGTAAATACAACTGTGATAAACCTAAGGGAACAATTAGTCCTATGTAATTATGGCGTATCTCTACTAGAGCTGTATTGCCATCTATCATAACTGACAGTGAATGTTAGGTGTCGGGTCAAAACTATTATCATTTACGTTCGTTCAATTTCTGATAATAGAATACACGTTTAGACAAGCACCTGACATAAAACTTGGTAAATTGAAGACTTTGTTTTTTCGAAACTGAGAGCAGATCTAGAGCTACTCTGATACAAACATTTTTGTATGATAATCAGTATTTGTGAGAGTATATACACAGTACATTGATCACCTATTGTGGCTGATATACTGGCCTGATATTGTTTTTTAAGAATGTAAAATGATAATAATATCTGAGTGACGTGCTCAGCAAACATGGATTACATCATGTGTTTACTTGCTTGAGGCAGGGATTGTACAGGAAAGACCCGTTAATCCAAATCTGGGACCCGTCAAGTTGCGGATTAAAGAATGATGATTGCAGCATGTCACTTTCCATGTCCTTTCTTGTAGAGCCATCTGGAAGGCTATGGGCCCCCAATAATACGGTCCGACAAGGTTTTAACGGGTATAAAGCATATCAAGGATTCTAAATTCAAACATATTTCTGTTAAAGTGACATTAGTACATTCAGCTATACTAAACAACTTACTACGCGAGCTTGCAAACCCGTTCTTCATTTGGTAAGAGACTAGTATTTCTAAATGCCATTTTCCAAATTCTTAACAATCATTATCCAACTCTGCTGTGCCCTGTACACAATGCAGATCCTGTATGAATGAAGATAGCAGGGGAGGAAAACTAATGATTTAAACTTTACTTATATTAAGTCTGGTTCAAAGGTCTTAACAAAACTTGAACCATCAATTTTCTTTTGAAAAAAATCCCAAACAGAATACTGTACGAGAGATTATGTTTTATTCGGTTCTAATCCAACCTGGAAATCCCTGACAGCGATATGTTGTTTCATTACAATGTTTCCCGCAGCCGGCGTCATATAGATGTCATAATAATGTCATTTCTGACGGGGACCTTTGAAAAAGTGTGAAACACCCTCGGGGTTGTGGAACATAAGAGACAGATTTAATTTTCAAAATGCTGGAAACTTTTGCTTATGAATTTTTTTTTATTTCCAGCTTTAAAACGTGTCCCCACCCAAATTGTCCCCTGTCGAGGGCGTAGAGTCCCCTTATCGGGGTGAATATAGATACGCCTTATCTCCGCCTGTATGGCAGGAATGCGCCCAGGGATCAAAGTACCCTCGTCCAAGTAGTTTAATATAGGATATACAAGCGGAGAGCAGGCGAGGGGAGCTCCGCTGTCGTGCGCTATCAGTCTTACCTGGGTTTGTCAATCAACGCAGCCAGCTCAACAGGTGTGTACTGATTATAACGCCGAACGCGACAGGTAGCTGTGATTGTATCACCTGTATAGGGCTCTGTGCCATATTGGGGCGACGCGAAAGGTTGTGTCATACATCGAATGCTATTTTTTACACTCAACTTTATGGATATAGTATTTACTGTTCGTTAATAATGTTTCATGTTGGGAAAATGAAACGGTTTCTATTAGAATCAAGAGAGGCAAATATCAATTTCTACCTTACTTGATTTTAACTTGATACACTGAGCAAATACATATAAACCATCCTGTCCGCAGCTTATATCATATCATATTCTTTTTATATAAAGTGATATGATATTATTTGCAGTGAAACTATACGAGGCACTTAAAACATATTTGAAGCATTTTGGTAAGATAAAACTGTGAGAGATATTTGTTTAATTGTTTAATGTTAGTGTACAGGGCTGGTTTTATGACTTGTCATGTGGATAGTCCCCTATCCTCTACTCCAATACATCGGATGACGTGATGTGCAGCTACAGCGAACCCAGCTCACTACCGTAGGGGACCATAACTTCCTATGGCGTGTATTCAAAGGCAGCCCAGTTGATAGCAAAACCAAAGTTGTAACGAATAATCGTTATTATGCGACTGTTTATAAGACAGATCCCTCACCGACATCTACAGTCAATTTAACATTAATAGCCTTTTTAATCAGCATGGCTGCGACCGGCAGTCCGTAACACCCGGTTTCACCCGCCTAGAACTGCTCAATAGAATTGCATCGGTGACACAAACAGAGAGTCGAGCATCTATACCAGCCCTGAATCAAACAGTTACACAAGTTATTGGTTTACACTTTTCAGATTCTTTACAGACGAGCGGTCCCGTTGTCGCTGCTGATCATCTTTCACTAACAAACGTACATCCTATATAAAACCACACAGTCTCACTGAACAGCCATATTCATCGTTGACGTATCTTAAACAGTCCAAAGGCTGTGTGGAGCGCGACATTAGCTCGGTCGGGACGAAGAGATGTTAAAACGATGGTTTTGGATGAGGGTATACATAAGTACGATAGAGCATATCACAATGGGGTTAATCAAGAACGCGGGAACACCTGACAGGTGCGCGACAGTGTTTACCTGATCCTCCCTCGTGTACCTGTAATTTAGGACTCGAGACACAGATCGTCAAGTAGCCCTTCAACAACAATTATTAGTCATATTTATACATTTCATGGTTGGATTATCGTCAGAAAGAAAAGCGTTGCACTTAAACACCTTTGTAATTTATTGTCATGCTGGGCAGTGGAGATGTGTGTTGTATGGGGGGAGGGGGAGGGGCAGGTATAGTCCTGTTAATCGGTATTAATAGTAGATTATTTCTTTACATATAAGTTAAATGTAAGTAATTGTCAGTATGAAGTAATCGGTTTGTAATAGTCCCTTTGTGACATGGAAATAAACAGACAACCCACTGTATTTCTATTTCTTCATTTTTGCAATATTTGGGATTGCACAGGAAATATTGATTTGCAAGAAGGAAGTTTTCATAGTAGTTTATTGCCCAGAAATGAACAATTCCTAATAGTAAGAATAGCGAAAAACGCATTGTCTATGTTTAAATGTCACATTATATGGACTGAATGCAAATCATTATTTTCGCACATGAATTTGTGACGAGTCCCAGGTGTGAAAAGCAGTTAATGGGAAAATCTAATTTCCTTGCGTGATAGTCCAACGTATATAGTTATTGTACACGACGACAGTCTATAGTGACAGTGTTATTACGTACACCTGTATGAGGTCCAAGGTCCCACAAGCATTGTGCTTAGCAAATATCATAGGAAACCGCACGTCTTTGGTAATTTAAAATAAGCTATTAAATAACAGCTTCAAAATTAAAAAATGAATGTCATGTTTATGAGATGACGGGTTTGATAGGATGTTTTCCCACTAATTTCTAAACATTGTTCTGTTGCCCCTATGTTGGATGGTTTTTACGGAGACAGTTTGAGTTAATTTTTATTTAAACATTCCTGTTTACATACAAAAGAGCATTATACGCAAGATCCTCACATTAAACATATTTTTGCTAAAAGATGTCAAGACTAAGTTGTTATTGTGGAAACTGGCGACTATTTCCGATAATGAACGACGTAAATGTCGATCTTTGTTGTTTTAACATATTAATACAGATAGTTTTCATTAAACTTGGCAATGATTAATCAGGCAGCTGTCATATTGAAACTTATATAAAACTTTTGAGAAATGACGTTTATTAGAATCTCGTGGGGTTCCCAAAACAGGTGTTAGTACTTAAAACGTCATTAAATTCAACTAAAGTATTTTTTTACAAGTGACAGAAAAGGGGAAATACAAAAACCAAAAAACATACGACACCCGTGGTTAGTTTACTCATTATTTAGAAAATACTTAAAATTTAATATTCAAGAGACAAAAGTACGTTTGTAAATACATATATGTGTACTGTTATAAATACAAATCCAATTTACATTCTCATTGCGTGAGTGAGTGAGTGATACTGTTATTACACTGATGACATCAGTAACACTAGTGATGCTGCAACTAAACACATCTGTGGAACACGGGCGTTCAGCTTGATCACCGCTCTCTTCAAACCACACCTAGCTACTAAATTTCATCGCATTATACGTTATCATGTTTATCTTAATGACTTTCACAAACCATTAAACACAAAGCCATTTATTAAAAAAATCATCATGTCAAAACCAAATGAGAAATATTCAACTTTGTCCAACAGCATTAACCCCTCCCTGTGATTTTACACCTTCAATTAAAGTTTGTACTCTGTTTAAATTGATTTGATTGAACGATTCCGTGTTGTTCGTGCTGCGGCTGGCGATCCGCGTTTCATGTAGCGCAGGTGTTCGTTCTCAGGCAACTTGATATATGTACAGATAAACGTATCTCCGAGTATCGGATAAAGTGTCAACACAATACTGAGTGATGCCTGCTCCTCTGTTTGTCATGCTTGACAAGCATATATATATATATGTATGTATAACTTGTAGTTGTACTGTCACTTATCAAACGTTAAAATCTGCTCACGTCGGTTTGATCCGATGAAGTGCCCCCTGATGTCCTCTTGACGTCCGGTCACATTGCCACGTAGAAAAGTTCTACTACAATCCTTCCGTAATAATACAGCATGGCACACTAGTGCTACAAGTCCCTGACAATATCGTAGATGTAAGACAAAGAGTTCATTTTAGTGTCTATTTTTGAAAAAATCATATTAACTGTTATTGTGATAAAAAACAAACAAACATGTCCATAATTATCAGAAATCTACCCAAAGCAGAGTACTAGGTCCAATTCTGACTATATCACGGGCATAGTCACTTTCAAATAGTGACGTAACAATATTCGCGAAAATATGATCGTATCCTGCCGTACCAGTGGTGTCCGTCACAATGCAAACTCAAGTCAATTGTTTAACTGAAAACATCTGGAACAATTGCAAGTAAAGCAGAGGCTTGCATCGGACATAATGTTTGACACTGAAGTGTCAAAGGTGTCTGACAGCAAGTTTTGAATGATGTAAGTCTTGTCGAGCAACCTCTTAGGAAGGGTAGCAAAGTTGTGAAGGTGGAGCTTTATGTGATATTGATTAACATCAATGGAAGGTAGACTATTGGAAAAAGCGAAGTCATCCCTCTTCTACCAAAGTCTGCTGGAGAGTCTTCATCACTATTTTATGTATAGATCTATGACACGATGAGGCGGTTTCTCTGGCCTCTCTTATTGCTAGTCCAGGTTGATAAATCTGTGGAAGAGAGCTGTCTGTTTTAACATTCTTGAACTGAAGTTAACCTTCTTATTCCTATAATTGTGACTTAGTCAAGCCTTATTATGCACAAAGAAACAGATCAGCAAGAAGGGGGGCACACTTGAAACCCATGAAGACGCCCAACCTTACTGGACATTCATATACCAAAAGTTCACATAGATGCCACTAACGACCCATGATCGTTAGACTGAGCTCCATCTGGCCACATAGAAGAAGGTACACCAGGTACAGATGAAACTGCTGCAGCCTGGCCGCATGGACGTTATCCCGCTCCACCACGCAGCGATGTCGCCAGCCGGCTCAGCCACAATATACACTATAACACGTTCTGGATAGAAACAAGACGTCACACAACACGTCACACAACATATCGCACAACACGTCACACAACATATTGCACAACACGTCACACAACATATCACACAACACGTCATACAACATATCGCACAACACGTCACACAACATATTGCACAACACGTCACACAACATATCACACAACACGCATACAACACGTCGCACAACATCACACAACACGTCCTACAACATCACACAACATATCGTACAACACGTCATACAACACGTAACACAACATATTACACGTGTCACACAACACGTCACACAACATATCGCACAACACGTAACACAACATATTACACAACGTGTCACACAACATCACACAACACGTCATGCAACATATCGCAGAACACGCCACACATCATCACATAACACGTAACACAACATATCACACAACACGCCATGTAACACATCACACAAGACGTCATACAACATCACACAACACCTCACACAACATCACACAACACGTCATGCAACACGTCAAACAACACGTCATGCAACACGTCATGCAACACGTCATGCAATACTCCATTATAAACGTTATAGCAAGGTGCTATGTTGGTTTGAAGGTACTGTTGGATTGTGTAGTGTGAGGTACAGAACTGTTGGATTGTGTAGTGTGAGGTACATATTTGTAGAAAAGTGTGGCGTCGGATAGCTAACTTGTTTGTGTGATGAAGACTCGACTGTTTGGAGACGGCCGTTATAATGGTTGAATTACTGGTGCACTTTGTCTGTCATACAGACCTGGAAACAAATATATCCAAGAAAGCCCATGCAAGTCTAGAATATGTGGCAAGTCTAGATTTTCACAGTTTCAGTTTCTGAAAATGAAGAAGGGCTCCTTTTCATTACATTTTATGATTATTTTTATGAACAGTTTTTT